TGGGTCCCACCAGCAGGTAGACTGTATAACCAACACTGGCTAGAATATTGACTGTGGACGTAAAGCCCAGCGTCACCATTGCCATCTGCTTGTCGGAGCGGCCCAGCACCACGCACTGCACTTCCACTCTCGGGCAGAAGGAGGCGCTAGTCTGGCAGGACACGGTGTCGGGGGTTATGATGCTGGAGTTGATGGCAATCAGCACCCAGAGAAACGATGTCTCAATGAGGAGGAGGAGCAGGAGGAAGAAGAGGAGGGGGCAGGGGTTTGGGCGCTCTGGCTTTCCTGCCCCACCTTCGCCGCCTGCGAACACACAAACAGGACATCAGTGGTTGAGGTGAGAGGCGCGACACCGATTGTACTGTCAGTCAAGAGCCTGAGAGCACAGGTGTGCACCTGCAGGTGACAGAAGCAGACCCCCAGCCCAGCAAAATCCTCTTATTCCACAGAGGAGCTGAACTGCACCAGTAGTTATAATATTTTATTTTACAGAGGCCTCTGGAGACAGACTCAGTCCACCCAGTAGCAGTATTAATCAGATCGCTTTCCTCTTTCATGGATGCTTTTCTCTATTGTAACTCTGGAAAAGGTTAGCCTGTGTCTGGTACTGCCCTATCAGACTAGACGAAATGACTCTCCACCCAAATTCATCGTGTTGTAACATGTCCCAGGTCTGGGCAAGCAATCGCCAGTCATTCTTTACGGAATATTGTTAAAACATGTTCTTCTTGTATGCTAAATTATCAGCTTCTGAAGGCTGATGTTATAGACAATATTACACCAGATCCATCTATTTCATAATGGCTTTATCCAGTACAGGATCACAGCGCAGCCGGAGGCTATCCCAGCAAGCAACGGGTGCAAGGCAGGGGACACACACACACACACACAGACACACACACAGACACACAGATGGCACCCCAGGTCCAGAACTAAACCTAGGCAGCAATACTAACAACTGGACCACCTTGTCACCCATTGCATTGCAGTTTAAAGGTTCCGTTGTTGGAAAAAACTTTGTTTGGCAATGTCTCATAAAGTGATTTTTTTCCCCCAAAGGCCCTTGTGAGCTGAACAGAAAATATTAAATTTAACCCTTTCCATTCATTCCTCCATTGGCTGTTCCAGAGAAAATCCAGTTCAACACTTCAGGTTAAAGCTCATCATGCCAGATCAATCCGTACACAGAATCAGGTGCTGATTTAACCTAAGGTCAGGAAAGACTGCCTGTTTAAAACCCCTCCCCCTGCCCCTGTGATTGGCTGGTCATGTCACAGATGATTTAACCCAGGGTGAGGAATGGCTGCCTTTTTAAGCCCCGCCCCCTGTCCCTTGGCTCAGATTGGCTGGTCATGTCCGTTTAAGCCCCGCCTCCCCGCCTCTGGGCTCTGATTGGCTGGGGGGCTCGATGCGACTCTACTCACTGTCCTGAGGACCACTGCGTGTCTTCCCCCTGCTGGCCACCTGCAGCAGCGCAATGGCCACGGCGACGGCCAGGAAGCTGAAGCTCCAGAGCGAGGCGGTGGGGAAGGAGAAGGCGTGGTTGAAGCAGAGGGCGTGGCAGAACTGGGTGAGGTTGCCGCCGCAGACGAAGTCCGTCCGGATGGCCCGCCAGCTGCTCTCGGCGCTGAAGAGCGCCAGCAGGCGCAGGCTGAGGAGCCCGTACCACACCGCCGGGCCGCGCAGCTCCAGCACCGAGCTCAGCACGGGCTGCAGGAAGCGACCCAGGCCGCCAACCAGCGACGCCATCTGGAGAGCGGGGCGCAGGTGACGGTCAGCGATCAGACATGCGCTCTAGATACACGGGAACACCAGAGAGGTCATGGACAAGAGGAGCCCCTCGGCCAAACCAGCCGGCTGGTGGGGAGGAGCTAATTGATCCTGAGATCTCATGCAGATGGTTCTCGAGAGAAGCCAGGATATCAGCTTCAACAACATGGCTGGGCAGCTTGTTCCACACTCCTACCACCCTCTGTGTAAAGGCGTGCCTCCTGCGCAGCTAAAATCAGTTGGACACAATGAAATACTGGTTGAAATTCGGGAGCAATCTTTGTTTCCATTCTGTTCAGATTGAACATGTTAGATAGATAGATACTTTATTGATCCCGTGAGGGAAATTGCAGATTTGTTGAGCTTGGAGCTACTTCTCCTCCAATTAATAAACAGTAAAGCAGAACAGACATTCGCTCAGTAATGCAGTGTCCTGTGTGCAGCGCTGTAACGCACAGTGTCCTCTGTGAGCTGTCCATCCTCCTGTCCATGAGTAAGACATCCAATCACTACTCATGAAAAAGGATTTAAGTTGATTCTCGACAATCACTGGGCTGTGCAGTAAAGCCCAGTGAGATCAGACTAAAATCACAGAACAATGCAGTAAAGCCCAGTGAAATCAGGGTAAAATCACAGGACAGTGCAGTAAAGTCCAGTGAGATCAGGGTTAAATCACAGGACAGGGCAGTAAAGCCCAGTGAGATTGTGGTAAAATCACATGACAGGGCAGTAAAGCCCAGTGAGATCAGGGTAAAATCACAGGGCTGTGCAGTAAAGCCCAGTGAGATCAGAGTAAAATCACAGGGCTGTGCAGTAAAGCCCAGTGAGA